CCTTCCCTTCCCTTCCCTTCCCTTCCCTTCCCTTCCCTTCCCTTCCCTTCCCTTCCTTCTCAACTTGAGGATAAAATACTACTAAATATATGGACATTATGTACTTTTTCCCTTCAAATGTGGAAGCAGAGAACGCTATATTACAATGTTATCTCATTGGGCCAGCCTTACTACAGGCAAAACTTGCGGCAAAAGGAGTAGATCATTTGAGGCCCAAATGGATTGTATTGTCTAATATTTTATTTAAGAATTCAGATTGCTATGGATTAATAGTGAAGCAATATTCTTGTATGAGTTATTATCTATCTGTTCTCTAAACTCTTGATCTTCAACTCTGCAAACTATTTTTATAACTTTTTATCCCTTCCTGTGAACCCTGGTTTTCCTCACAAATAGACTGTATGCAGGGTCCAACCTTCAACTCTCTCCAATTGTCATGAATCAGATTCAGTTTTGCATGTGCTGTAATAAAAAAAAGTGACCATGAAGAGGACTGGGAGGGGGGAGCCAATTAAGAACAAAAACGGATTGTATAAACAAATATTTAATATACTAAATAGATGAATTTAAAATATGTTTCTAATAGTGACCATTCACATGCTTTTATCCAGGGAATAAAATTTTTAGCGGACAAGGAAAACCCATTCTTACACTACTGCCTCCCCCTATCTTAACAGTGAAGATAAATTGTTCTGAAGCAGTTAAATTTTTTTTTGTTTTTTTTAGAATCTTTCTATTTCTCCATCTCTCTATCTATTACCTATCTACCCATCAGAATTTAAAAGAAGAGTCCTGGCAGCTTTCATAGAACAAATAACATAGTTAAAGTATCTGTGGTACAATCTAAAAACCCAACAGCCATAAACAAGAGACAGAAGCAATAAGCAACATAGCAAAACCACAATAATATCATAGGTATAAAAACAAACGTAATGCATTTTTCATATGATAAACTAGATCCATTCCAAATATTTCTGAAGTTTAATTTAATGCAAAATTTATCCACAAAGCTTAAATTCCTTTACTTTGTGACCATATCCTTCTCCTGGAAAGGAATTTTAACCATCTTATCATGATTTTTTCCAAGTTCTGGAATAATATTTGGATAAATTGGGGTTTTGCTCTCCTATTGTTTAGCATGGCAAAAACATAAGCACATAATGGCTCCATATAACCTTCATTTTTGTTTTTAATCAGAATAGGATTAAATTGCCAGGAACAATAGACAATTGTGAAGAGATTACGTTTGCCAGAGTTAATAGAAATTGGTGCAGGGTTTTTTTTAGTTATATTCCTTTATTATCAGAATTAATAAAGTACCCACGCTTTTTTCACCTCCTCAGTAGAATGGAGATGAAACTTAGAAACTAGCCCATTAATAAAAGATACAAACCACTCAAAATGTCATAGATATCAGTATATGGGTTTTCATATTATGCACTCTTCTGGCCATAGCCCCCCAAGCTCAGAGTATTACTACTGTGCTCCTAAACCTTTTCCACTACAATCTGCGTACTATCTCCTTGCCTATCCTCAGTCTCTCTAATGACATTCCTTAATAAACTAAACGTCGTACACACATTCCTATCAGTAGGGCCAAACTGGGATACTGCTTCCAATATCAAAAGACTGGAGGGCACATACCAAATAATACACTACTTACAATTATTCAAACAGTTAAAGAAATTGGAAACTAATGTTAGATACTGAATTATGCGCAGTGCAGATTAAGGAACTAAGAAGAAAGACTAATTCAAAGAGCTAGTTCAACTGAAAATGGATGGGATGGGAAGGTAAAGCTGGAAAAGCTAACAGAAGGAGGATCAAGAAAGGAAATGATATTAAAAATAAATAAATCAGCTTATTGTTCATAAAAGAAAATGCTGCCATGTACTTAATAACAGAAAAAAAAGATCTTGGATGACAATGAAGTATGACTGCAGTGACTTCAAATAAGTATATCCTCCACAATCTTGCCAACTGTCCAAAACACTTTGATGAAAGCAGCTAAGGTAAGGATCATTCTGATTTAAGGACAGATTCTGTCAATCATCCCATATCCAACCAAGATGAGTGAAACTGAAAAGTGCTATTTAAAATCCTCCCTTAGCAGGCAGTGCAATACCCTATCCTTTCCAATGAGTTAGGTTCCCAAAATACATTTTGAAGTGAAACAATATAGATGATTTTGAATTGAAGCCTGTAAGATATCATCATTTATTTATTTATTTACATTTATTAGCCACCCAACTCCAATGGACTCCTATTCCACTTTAAAAACTTCAACTAATACAGTTCCAGATTCCATTTTTTCCAGTATAGTGATTAGCCAGTGAGGTACCATTCATCTTCCATCCGTTAAAGAAAGCAATGGAAAGCAATGGAAAATAAGAAAAATATGAGAAAACCATATGCATAAATGTATGAAGGTATCAACATCCATATATTCTAGTATAATTTATGCTAACAGTGACTCTCTCAGATACAGATCTTTCCATCATTTGCTATTTGATCCTTCTAGCTGGAGATGCTAGGAAGGTAATATAGGACCTATAATATATACAAACCACATGCTTTACTACTAAACTATCATCTTCCCTGAGGAACGCTTTATTCATCAGCTTGCTCTAGGTATGGGAATGTATGAAGCATCTCCTCTAACAACTCCCTCTTACATTCAGCAAATTGCAAACTGCCAAAAAGGTTGCTGAAATACAGTATTGATGCAATTTAATTTTTGGATATTAATATGCAAATGAATATTATGTCTTTAAGAAAAGTTACATGCTACCAGTATTAAACTAAAAATGTATTAAAATTGACAAATCTGCCATGTAAAAATCAACTGTTACCATCTACACCATTTCCAATAATGGTAGAACAATTGAGTTCTAGGTCTGCTGACTGCATTAGAAAATCACTGAGAAACAATATGTTCACATTTAATGGAAGAAGCTATGAAATGACAGTGCTTACTAAATTAAGGCTATATACCTTAGGGTATATTTTTATTAACATAATGTACATTAAGGAGAGCATTAAGTTGCAGATTAAGAAGATAATGCATACTTTGTGATGTAGAAAAAGTATATGAATTTTAAAATAAATATTTATGCTTCAAAACAAGAATAAAATAAAACTTCACATATTTTATCCTCAAGCCAATATATTTTAATTTTTTTCTGTAAAAAAACCCATTATTTAATGTTCAAGTCATATTTGAATGACAGCGAACTTTTTTTTCTAAAAAATGGAAAATTGTATTAAAGAGCAGTATTAATTTTTATTTTGAGTAACTTCATCAATATTCAAAGATCTGGAGGCCAAAGGAGTAAAAAGCCATTATGTTTAGTTTTTAATGTATTAGAGCACTGTAAATGTACTTGCTCTGTTTTATTTTTTAAAAATATTTCATGCAATACATCTCCAGATAGCATACTAAGCAATATGCAAATTAAATGCAGTAAAATAATAATGTATTAACATTTATTAAAACATGTAAATCAGAGGTCATGAGAAATAGAATATCATCATGAGCTGTCAAATGTGAAAGTGAATCACATCCTTTTGGAATGCATCTAAATTAGAGTTTGGTTGGGTACCAGTATAGAAAGCATCATCTTCCTAATTAATGGTAAACGAATATCCACAGGATATAGCAGAGATAACTACTTTCTTCAATTAAGTATGGTAAAATAAACTAGGTGCCAAAATAAGCCTTTTCTATAATTTTTGGTCAACGTATCACTGTGTAAATATTATAACAAGTATTTTCATATGTGAAATTTCCTGTTTGTTATAAACTCTTAAGCTCAGAGTGGAAAAAGTGACCAGAGAATTTTGTTCCCCTTTCTTCTAAAGGCAGGAATCATCCCATAACACTGATAGGCAGGAAAGTCCATACGTATAAAAGGAAGCACATTGTTATATAAAGTGTCAGATTCAAGGAGGATAAGTCTATCAACAGCTATTGGTCATGAAAACTATGCAGAATGGAACATAGTATGTTATGGAACACTTACTCATGAGAAGCAAAAGTATTGA